CAAGGCCAATATTGTCAAAATACCACACTTGGATCCACTTCGGGGACAGCGTGAAACAAGCTTTTATGCCACAAGACGGGCAGAAAGCAGCAACTTCACTCTGGCTGAAACCCTTCTCCAGAACATCACTCCATCTGAGATCTTACATACCCAGGATGACTCGAGTATGGAACACATTTCATACAGCATAATGAGTCAACGAGATAACGTCAGTTGATCAAATGAAAATGCTGGCCCACAGATGGCTCCAACTTCATCCTGTTCCCTACTTGTATGTCTCATAACAATAAAAATGCTTTCAAATGAGCTGATGTAGGTAACAGCTCTTAGCTTGTCAATAAAGTTAGGAATCCTTAACCTGTAAATAGCTGTCAATAAAGCTAGGGGTCCTTAACCTTGTCAAACCCTGTGTAAAAAAAAAAAAAAAAAAAAAAAAAAAAAAAAAAAAAAAAAAAAAAAAAAAAAGAGAGAGAAAGAAAGAAAGAAAGAGAGAAAGAAAGAGAGAAAGAAAGAGAGAAAGAAAGAGAGAAAGAAAGAGAGAAAGAAAGAGAGAAAGAAAGAGAGAAAGAAAGAGAGAAAGAAAGAAAGAAAGAGAAAGAAAGAAAGAAAGAGGGAAAAAAAGAAAGAGAAAGAAAGAGAAGAAAGAGAGAGAGAGAGAGGGAGAGAAGAGAGAGAGAAGAGAGAGGAAGGGGGGGGGGGGAAGTAACACTTTGGATTTTAAAAGAATGTGTGGAAAAATCAGACAAGTTATTTGGAGTGAATGATGGTGAAAGTTTTTCTTTTTCGGGCCACCCTGCCTTGGTGGGAATCGGCCAGTTTTGATAATAATATAAAAAAAAAAAAAAAAAAAAAAAAAAATATTTTCCAAAGCTAAAGAAATCTGTTATCCTTTCATTTTCCTCTCCTTTATTAGATACCAACACGTGTTTGGGGGAAAAGAAATAATTGTTGCATGTAAATGAGACAAGTTAACCAAAATAAAACCACATATGGACCAACATACTGCCCCTTAAATCAAAGGATAATCACAGACAGCACCTACAGACCCTACCCCAAACCTTCTCTTAACAAACATTAGTAAGCCAAACCCCTCGAATACAACAAAGTTTCATTTAGACTCCATGACGAGGCCTCAATAAGGAATTTCACAGCAGACCTAGAGATTGTTGACTGGCCTACAGAATTCTCCAATGCCAATGTTATTGACGTTTGGACAGACATTTTTCTTAACAAAATACTTAGATATACAACAAACATTGTTTCCCATTAAAAACTAAACAGTCCGTACAAACGGCTTGGTTGCCCATGGCTAACCACAACATTCCTGAAATCATTGATAAGAAAAACCAATAAGAAAAGAATCAGACAGGCTTAATACACAAAGATTTCTTAAACATATTCAACAGTTTCACACCAAATTAATAAGCAAACAACTGTACTACTCCAGCAGATTCACTGACACAAGAGGAGATATAAAAAAAACCTGGAAAATACTTTCCCAGATTCTGGGGACCAACAAACTGAAAAAAAAACAAGAATATTGTTCTAACTAAACCTCATGAACCACTGCATCCCACTGATACAGCTAACAAGATAAACGACTTCTTCTCAAACATAAGATCAAATCTCGCCAGTAAAATCCCACGTACCAATGCCCGTGCCGGGGACTACCTAGATGGGAATTTCCCAAATTCCTTCTATCTTGTACCAACTGAGCCCACGGAAGTCACCGCGATCATAAAGTCACTTAAAAATAACTCGGGGAATCTGTCTCACGTCCCACCATTATTGTACAAGCGAGCGGCCCATGTCCTTTCACATGCTATTACATTACTTTTTAACAAGTCACTAGAAACTAGCACTTTCCCGACACTACTCGGGACAGCAAGGGTTACACCAATACATAAAGGTGGTGACCCACAGACGTAAACAACTATAGGCCAATATCAAACTTACCATTGCTATCCAAAATCTTCGAGAAACTCGTGCACAGGAGACTATATTCATTTATAACATCACAAAACATACTCAACCCTTGCCAATTTGGATTCAGAAAAAATAAAAGCACTAATGATGCAATTATAAAAATGCTAGACCTGCTTTACACAGCATTGGAAAATAAGGAATATCTGCTAGGAATTTTTATTGACCAAAGAAAAGGGTTTGACGCAGATGACCACGGCATCCTACTCCACAAACCTGACCACTATGGTATAAGAGGCCATGCGCTTGCATATTTCAAATCCTACCTTTCTAATAGGTATCAGTATGTCACCATTGATGACACAGCCTCATCAACACGGCCACTTGATACTGGAGTTCCGCAGTAAGTGTCCTTGGACCCCTACTCTTCCTCATTTACATCAATGATCTTCCAAACATATCCCAACACCTGAAACCCATTCTCTTTGCTGACGACACGACTTATGTCATCTCCCACCCTAATTTTGCCACCCTCAACACCATCGTTAACGAGGAGCTGCTCAAAATATCGGCTTGGATGACAGCCAATAAACTTACACTTAACACTGGCAAAACCTACTATATTATATTTGGTAGCAGAGCAGGTGTTGCACAACACTAATTGCCAGACATAATGAGGGCAAATTCCTTGGCCTATACCTCAACAACAACCTAAATTTCAGCACCCATATCCAACACACAACAAAAAAGTATCCAAAACGGCGGGGATCCTCTCCAAGATACGATACTACGTGCCACAAACTGCCCTTCTCACACTATACCATTCACTTATATATCCATACCTCACCTATGCTATCTGTGCTTGGGGTTCAACTGCAGCAACACAAAGCCAATAATAACCCAACAAAAAGCCGCAGTAAGAATAATCACTAAATCCCATCCCTGGCAACACACCCCCCCCCACTCTTTATAGATCTAAACTTACTCCCTGTTCAGAACATCCACACTTACTACTGTGCAATCTATATCTACATGACCTTAAATTCCAATATTAACCTTGACCTAAAATGCTTTCTTGATAGTTGTGACAGGATCCACAGGCATAACACCAGACACAAACATCTCTATGACATTCCCCATGTTCGACTAAACCTTCACAAAAATTCAATGTACAGTGGACCCTCGCCTAACGAACGCACCGCATAACGTTAAATTCGCCTAACAATACATTTTAACGCTAACATTTTGCCTCGGCTAACGCTAAAAAATTTGCCTAACGATATTCATTCTCAGGTACCAATTAATATCGTTAGGTGAGGGTCCACTGTATTTCAAAGGACTTAAAATCTGGAACACCCTACCTGAAAACTCTAGAACTGCAGACACATTCATCACTTTCAAAACTACAGTTAGAAAACATCTTATCTCCCTGATCCACCCCGACAACTAACTACATGTTAACCACCTGGTGGTTTACAATTACACTGACTCACCCACTGACTAAACCCAGAAATACTAATCTTAATCTTAAAATAATAAATCCTAACTAGTCCTAAGTTTGCCTATGATACTCCAATATAGACACTTTGTATTGTGCCAAAACAAAAGCATTCACATTGCTAAACTCACAAATTATGATGTAGTCACTTAGCTTTAATACCATAATCTGTAAAGATTTAATGTTAAGAATTAATCTAAGTCTGCTTGAAATGCCTAGCCAGGCTAGGTGTCTTAGTGGCCCCCTCTGTAATTAGTATTTTATAACATGTAAACCACACAATACCCAAAACCTGTAAACCCCACATTGTAACCCTTATAGAGAATAAACTTGAATTGAATTGAATATATGTGTACTTTATATGAAATATAAGGAAACAACCTGGGGAAAAGGTTTAGACAGTTACCCAGTGATATTAACCCGTTGACTGTCGCGACCCCAAATCCTAAAGTCTATCTCTGTTGCAAAAAAACTTACGAAATGATAGAGAATCTTTTCCCCGATGTAAACGACACCAAAAGTATGAAATTTGATGGAAATCTTATAGAATTACATTCTTCCAAAGTTAATCTCAGCAATGTTTACGTATTGGCGATTTTGCCCACTTTAAGCCCTATTTTCGGCCAATTCCATTGTTCCAGTCGACCAAACTCATAGCTATTTCTTTAGAGGATCATTTGTTCTATCGAGCAAGTACAAGAAACCGCCCACTTACCGATTTCAACTATCCAATAAAGTGGTCAGAAATTGGCAATTTGACCAATTTTATGCAAAGAAAAACAGATGCCAATTTTAAAATAGGGTTCAGAATGAACAATGCAGACATTTCTGGCACTAAAAATAACATTTTCTTTGTTCATCAGTCACATCTCCAGGCCCCCCTTGCTTTCTATTTTGAATTTTTATTCACACAAAAAACAGAAGATTTACTGTTATGCAGACTACTTCATTATTGTAATAATTGTATAAGTAATATCAATGCATTCAAGACCACATATTAGAATGGCTAACTGGACACCTATTGGACAATTACGTCATATGTTTACTCTTGAACATCGGCAAAAATCAAACATTTCTGTAATATATCTTCCATTCTATCAAATGAGATCAAGAAAACGAGAATACAACCATAAATACTATACAAAAATACACCTCAAAGTTGGTATTTTAATCCAAAAACACGGTCAGATTTTTTTTTTCTCATTATGCACTGCGTGCTGCAGGATTTTTTTTGTACTGTGCACACTGACCACACACATCCATTCTCTCACATGTGGGCCTACCAGCTTTCTCCCGCTTGATTTGAAGCCGCTAGAATTTTGGAGTATAAATATGTCAAAAACACTGGTTCATAAGACGTATATACACGACCGAAACAGTCAGAAGGTTAATTTAAAAAATAACATGGAATTTCAATAACAGAAAAAGAACAGTACTGTAATTACCATTGCAGTGATTTTCAAATCTCCACTTAAGTGTGTCAATCACCATCTCCAAAGCCAATTTCTGATCATTGTCATGATGCATCAAAAATCGTCTGATGTATTTGTCATCTGTTTTTATTCTCTTCACATCTTGGGGGTCATAAATCACACCATCAGAATCAATCTTCTGCACTACAGAACTACGAAGCAGGTCAATTTCTGCTTTTGTTGGTTCAGGAGGAATCGAGCCCATTTTACCCTAGGATGACGATAATGTTGTATTCGAGACTGAAATAGTGAAAAGCATTTTTAAGACAAAAAGTAGTCATTATTACTAGTTTTTATGTCCAAAATGCTTTGCGTAACAAGAAGCTTTCTTAGAACATACAAAAGTTGTAATCCCAGACCTTTATTAAATTTGTAGACAAGCAGACTACTAACTAATTGTAGTACTAGTACTGTATCCATGTAGATGCTGATTGTGTCAAATATGTACATACATGATCAATAAATTCTTTAATTCTTTTACAATGGAAGTAACTCAAACTAAGACTAGACAAATCTCAAGTGATGAAATAAGATAACACAATTAACACAAATACAACGATGATCCATGAATCCAGCTATTTGTCACAATACGAGGATCTAAATGAAACCCCAATGTAACTAATTACAAATTAGCCTTAACTGTGTTCACTTATGAGTTTCAACCAAATAACATACCACAGGGGATCATGAATAAACGAGACATCTGGGACTAGGGTTCATACAGCTCCAGCCATGAAGCACATATTACAACAAAATTAGTAATTTAAGGTCTAATGGTTTCACAAGCTGTAAGGCCACAATCCACTGAGAAACAGTTTTGAATATTTTACTGAATGATATACTATACACTACTACACACTCCCAACCAATCACTGCCTAAAAGTTTAGTAATCTTAGGCTAAGGCGGGTTACTTTACAAGAATGTTAATTAATCCACGTTCATGTAATTAAACTCAAAAGTATAAATAGTTACATATATAGAGAATACGAATGAGCCCTCAAATTACATCTAACAACTGTGGATTTTGTATCTTTTTCCAGAAGTCAGCTAAATCAAGGTACATTAAACTGAGGCTTTGGTGTAATGGTGGCAGGGCAAACATTGTTAATCAAATAAGCATTATGCAATAATACAATGGCAAAGAATTGCCAATGAAGAAAGACTGAAGTAGGTCTATTTTCAAATGCTAGGCAGGTCCAACACACCCAACCACATCCATTCAAATACTTGTCTGGCCTATATATGATATTAGCTCTTGTTTCAATGACAGTGCCTGGGAGTTTGTTCCACTCATGTAAAATATTACTGCCAAACTAGCACTTTCCTATGTTCTTTCCAAATCTAAATGTTTCCAACTTTACACCACTGCTTTAAGTACGGTTTTGGTTAGATACTTTCAGCATGTTATTTATATACTCTATTTATTCCTGGTTTCTATTTGTATATTTCAGTCACATCCTCCCCTAAATCAATATCTCTCCAGAATTGAAAATTCAGATTTCAGCACAACTCCACTGAAAAATTCCAATACATGTACTGGGATCAACATAGTCATCCTTCTCTGTATAGTTTCCGGTGCATTTATGTCCATTCTGTAATATGAAGATCAGAGCTGAGCAACAGTCAAAATGAGGCCTTACCAAAGATATGTAAAGTTGATGTATAACCAGAAGATAACTTAAAACAATAACTTAAATTATTACATGAGGGTCTCATGGTTGGTTGATGGATAGTTTGCTTATACTTATTACAATGATTTATCAATTTCTTAAATCATTATAGGTTTATTACACCAAGAAATTACAATGATACAGTGATATTGATGAAAATTTAAGAAAGTGCCTACCAATATTTTTTTGAATAAAAATTACACTAAGCACAGTTCACACCAGAGAGCCACTGAACACGAATGTAAGTAATCTCACGAATGTTTGCAAGTCTAGCAGTCAGAAGTCAACATTTTTTCTACTGACGAGGTTCTCCCACATACAAATTTTATAAAATTATTGGTAAGCAACTTGTAGCCTGAATAACTCTAATGCTGGAAACTTGAAAAGTCAGACTGCTGAACACCAACACATTACACAAAGTAAAAGGACTTAAGTACAATTAATGTGACATTTTATTGTGGCAATGTTTCGCTCTCCAGGAGCTTTGTCAAGCCGTTACAAACAATATTACATAGTTGGTAATTCTACCAAAAATATATACCAAACACATTACCACATACAATTACAAGGACCTCAATGGAAATGTCACTTGGTCTGCCTTTTTTGGGCTACCCTATGTAATTTACACATCACTATGTATGATAATTGTAGTCGCCTAAATTTGCATAACTGTATATATGTGTACCTAAATAAACTTACTAATACTGCAAAGGTATACAAGGAAATGATGGGTTAATATCCCACATACCTTGGTTATTATTTGTCGCTAATGCATGTAACTAAAATATTAAATGTAATCATTTTAAAAAATAGCAAGACACTTAAACGAAATCAGATTTAAAGTAAAAGGACATATTTACATGAACATCCATAGATTTAACAAAATATTTGCCAATGCCATTAGGAAAGTGCAGTATATATTTGGTTTGCCAAATACACTATATAACCACTAACCTGAAAACACTACCAAGAAACAAATAAAATAATAAGGAAATAACACTAACAAAATCACTACAAAACACATTATATGTATGTGAAAATTTTCTTTTAAAACAAAATTTATATATTCTCAGCAGCTCAATACAAGGTTTAGGTGACGATCAAGTATACTAGATACTTCACTTAGCAAGTCACAAACTACACTAGCTGTGGCCAGCACCAGTATTAAAGATCACTATGTACCCTATGAGGGCAGTATGGTAGAGACAGTCAGTGTGACCATTAATGCCACAATACGAGACTAACAAGGTTAATGTAGTCATTCAAGTTCATAGTACAGGACTGGCACTGTCAGTGTGACCATCAGAGGCCACAGTACAGGACTGACACTGTGTGGCCATCAGAGGCCACAGTACAGGACTGACACTGTGTGTGGCCATCAGAGGCCACAGTACAGGACTGACACTGTGTGTGGCCATCAGAGGCCACAATACAGGACTGACACTGTGTGGCCATCAGAGGCCACAGTACAGGACTGACACTGTGTGTGGCCATCAGAGGCCACAGTACAGGACTGACACTGTGTGGGGCCATCAGAGGCCACACACTGACACTGTGTGTGGCCATCAGAGGCCACAGTACAGGACTGACAGTGTGTGGCCATCAGAGGCCACAGTACAGGACTGACACTGTGTGTGGCCATCAGAGGCCACAATACGGGTCTAATAAGGTCACTAGTCATTCAAGGCCACAGTACGGGACTGGCACTATCAGTATGGCCATCAGAGGCCACAATATGGCACTGTCACAATGTGGCCATCAGAGGCCACAGTACGGGACTAACAAGGCCACACAAGTCCTCAGAGGCCACAGTACAGAACTACGACATTCAGTGCCACAGTAGTACTCCAACACGGTCACAGTAAAGGGCCACAGTAGAGGTGTCAGTGCCAGTGCCAGTGAGGTAATACGTGCCCACCACCTCCTACCCTGGATTACCACTGTGGTAATACGTGCCCACCACCTCCTACCCTGGATTACCACTGATAAATACATACATAATACCAACTTATAAGTTATTAAAGAGAGCTGAAGGCCGCCCTCCACAACTCCACTAACCACTTCCAACGTGGCTGCTTTAATGTCCGTACTTCACTCCTGTGATGAACTAAGTCCTGTTATCTTATCAGGATGTTAAAGAGGAGACACAAGATAATAATCATCAGCAGTGTTCACCTGCTGTTACCACCACTACCAACACACTCATCAGCTGATCTTCTCACTACACCTCCATACCTCGCTAATAATAATAATAATACACGTATCTTTAACCTGTTTAATTATTTCTTAATTTACCACAAACGTCGTAATTCATTTTGTCTCTAAATTTGAAAGCAATTACTTTCATATTATTTTTTTTAATAATAACCAACTGAAATAAGTCACGTTGACTTTTTTTTTTAGTTATCATGGGTAATTTACACTATGATAATTGTACTTGTGTACCTGTGCCTAAATAAACTTATTTACTTAATTACTTACATCGTAAAAGTAACTCCAGCGATAGCTGTTTTTATTTTTTTAAAAAATAAGTTAGAGTGTTTGGAGGCAGCCTTGATCTATAACATATTGTAACATTACACCAGGAACTGTGGACAGACATGCAAATGCATGTATTATGTTATCTGTAATTAACTAAGTTTATCTTACAGTTGGCTTTATCAAAGCGCAAGAGAAAACTTAAGGAA